TCTCTCTCTTTCTCTCTCTTTTTCTCTCCCTTAATCCCTCTATTGCATTTTTGCTGTAGTTATTTCAATAAAACTGCATTTGATTTGATCATCACTGCAAACCCCCTTGTACTGTGTTGGTGTTTTGCACTCTGAGATCATTCCTATGAACCATCAGGTCATCTGTCCACTAGGATGGACCCTGACATATAGATAATATTTAAGGCATAGATTGGTTCTACTCTACTAAGATGCTAAGCAAAGAAAAGTATATAATGCATTGTAACCAAAACCAAAGGGTCTCCAGGCCTGCCGGCAGCTGGAGCTGACAGCTGTAGGCACAGTCCCTGTTGACCACGACCCTGGACTGCTGAAACCTCTTGGATGGAATAAACTGCATTTTGGAGAGCTGCCTGGAGTCCTGCATCCCTCATTTCGGCTCTTATACCGTGCCTGGACCGTCCCATGTCTTCACTGCTGAGCTGCTCTGTGTGTTTGTGTTTCTGGGTGTGTGCTGGTGCCCTCGTGGCTCCTGCCCATTGGTGCAGGATGGTCTTGGGGAATGTTGCATCCACCACCACCATGAACTCCAACAAGTGGCACCCAAACAGGGACCTTCATCTCATACCCCTGAAGGGCGTGTCCAGTGTCAGTGCACCTTATATCACCTTCAGGTCAGCCACTACCCCAAAGCAAGCTCTGAGTTTTATCAGGGCACACTGAAGGGAGAGAGCAGCAAGCCCCCAGAATTATGGACTACAGGATGCTCTCTGTGACAGACCCCCACAAGATCCTTTGCTGGCCCACCATTGTTTGAGTATGTTATGGTTGGGGTCACGTGTGACGGTGTTCACAGGGGTCCGAGGAAGAGGCAAGAGACGAGAATCTGACTCCATGTTTCAGAAGGCTTGATTTATTATTTTATGATATATACTAATTAAAACGATACTAAATAGAAGAAAGGATTTCATTAGAAGGCTAGCTAAGAATAGAAAAGGAATGATAACAAGAGCTTGTGTCTCGGACAGAGAGCCCGAGCCAGCTGACTGTGATTGGCCATTAATTAGAAACAACCACATGAGGCCAATCACAGATCCACCTGTAGCATTCCACAGCAGCAGATAATCATTGTTTACATTTTGTTTCTGAGGCCTTTCAGCTTCTCAGGAGGAAAAGTCCTAAGGAAAGGATTTTTCATAAATCCTGTGTCTGTGACAGTCACCCTTTTATTTTGTTTTCTCATTTTAAATCTTGTGGGTGGGAAGACTGCAGAATGGGCACAAGATTCACCATTCTGCAGCGGGAGATTTATATCCCAAGTTAAATTAACCCTTGTTGCTTGGGGAATT